ACTAGTTCTGTCTGACAAAGACTCTTATCTGGCGACGAAAACCACCACCTGCACCAGTTTCAGTCACTATCACTTTGTGTTTCTTGTGCGTTTGTGTCTCTGTGCATCCCTAAGGCAGCCTCAGAGGACCATGGCATTTGCTGGGATGCTGAGCGACAAGGACATCAAGGCTGCAGTTCAGGCTTGTCAAGGTGAGTCAGGAAAGTCACCCAAATGCAAGAAGATGCACAAACAATTTAACCACAAATAAAGAATAGGTTTGGATGTGTGTTTCACAGAGAGAGAGAGGTAAAAGTGCTCATTCCTTTGGGGGATGTGTTGCGTGTTGAGTTGTTCAGTGGGGACAAAGCTGCTGCTGGTTACCTGGCAGACGTCTGGCAGGAGACCAGTTACCAACCGGATACCCAAGTGTTTCCGTTCAGTGTTCGTACAGGGATGACCAAATCACACAAGCTGTAAAAGTCATTGCGTGCCGAGGGATTTAATTATTTATTTTGAGCAATTATGCCTGCATGGCAAGACATACAACGCTCAATCGTTTGCTCCAATGAGAAGAAAATGTCAGCAATGATTTGCCCTTTCGTCAAGAAAACCTGCCTGTTGGGAATGTTCTATCCATTCATTCACCCATCCATCCATCCATCCATCCATCCATCCATCCATCCATCCATCCATCCATCCATCCACCCATTCATCCATCCATCCACCCATTCATCCATCCATCCATCCATCCACCCACCCATTCATCCATCCATCCACCCATTCAGCCATCAATCCGTCCATCCACCCATTCATCCATCCATCCATCCATCCATCCATCCATTCATCAGCCATCATCCATCCACCCATTCATCCATCCATCCATCCGTCCGTCCGTCCATCCATCCATCCATCCATCCATCCATCCACCCATCCATCCATCCATTCATCATCCATCCATCCATCCATCCATCCATCCATCCATCCATCCATCCATCCATCCATCCATCCATCCATCCATCCATCCATCCATCCATCCATCCATCCATCAATCCATCAATCCATCCATTATCTTCCACTTGTTCTGAAGTCAGGTCATGGGGGCAGCAGTTTGAGCATCTCGTTCCACAGTCACCTCTTCCAGCTCTTCTGGGAGAACTCCAAGGTGTTTCCAGGCCAACCGAGAAACATAGTCTCTCCTGCTTATCTTAGGTCTTCCTCGGGGTCTCCTCCCTGTCGGACATGCTCAAAGCACCTCCCTAGTGAGGCGCCCAGGGAGCATCCTTACCAGGCAGCATGATGAATCAGTGGTTAACTGTTGTCTCACAGCAAGAAGGTCCTGAGTTCATTCCCTGGTTGGACCTGGGGTTTTTCTGTGTGGAGTTTGCATGTTCTTCTCATGCTTGTGTGGGTTTTCTCCGGGTACTCCGGTTGCCTCCCACAGACTAAAAACATTCATGTTAGTCTGCCTTCAGGCCCAGGCCTCCCTTGCAAAAGAGATCTGTGATCTCAGTGAGACTTGCCTGGTTAAATAAAGGTTAATAAATAAATAGATGCCCGAACAACTCAACTGTCTTCTCTCGATGTGGAGGAGCAGCGGTTCTACTCCAAGTCTCCCACAGATAACTGAACTGTTCCTTTTCTATTCCTGCATGTTTTAAGCAAAAACTACATTCAAACCTTATCTGGTGTTTTTGTTTTTCTGCATACTCCAGTAAAAAAAATCAAATACTTCTTTTTTTTTTTTTTTTACTTCAAAGGTCCTTTGCTTTCCTGTAAGATTTATTTTTCCTCATCAGAAGATACAACTCTGAACTCATTCATTCATTGTGCGAATTCTCTTTTAATTATTATCCACCTTAGAAGAATTTCCACTTGACTTAAGAGCTTTCAGTACTCATGTTCGCATTAGAGCCTTGGGACAGTTTCCATTGTGCTTCGACTGTTTCAATAGCATACAACATAGATGTGCTGCAGAGTGTTTATTGGTAAATGTCATCAGCCGGAGAATGAAAGTCATCTGAGCGAATGACTTAAAGCGACATCTCTATTCAGATCCCCACCAGTCGTCCTTTCTTGTATTCAGTGATTGACCTCTCACATGTGTCTGTGTTCTGGTCTCGTTCTCTCTCTCTCTGCTCCTGTAGCCCCGGGCGAGTTTGACTTCAAGCAGTTCTTTGCACAAGTGGGACTGACTGGCTCATCTGAGGAAGACAGACAAAAAGTGTTCACAGTCCTGGACCAGGACAAGAGCGGCTACATCGAGGAGGAGGAGCTGAAGTAAGGACGGCTGTGTGCTGTCCGTGCACTTTCTCACTTTGTGGGGGCACACACCACACTGAATGGATAAATATGAACTTGCATTCATTTTCAGAGAATTAAACAAGTAAATTTATAACGTAAATTAGGGCTATTTTTACCACTTTTAAAAATAAGCTTGCTGAAAGTTTCTCACAAGCTTGATGTAACTCGTAGATTTTCATGCAATTCCTGCTTTTGGAAAAACGAAATAATAAAATGTAAAACCTGCTATTATCCCTTCAAACCAATCCTACAGAAAACATTTGTCAGCCCGGTGACTTCTGCAGCCTTACATTTATGTGGAAGGCTTGTATGAAAACAGATCAGATCAGAATTAGATTCACTCCAGCTCATTTGTAGGCAGGTGATGTAACAAACAATCAGTTCATTTCTAAAGAAACAATTCACAGCAAACGTCTTCTCAGATTCCTGTACAAAAAAAAAAGAAGCCACAAATCAAACAACATGATTTAATAAATACTTTAACTCACCTGATGGTTAAGCACCTAAATAAAGTCTGTTAAACCAGGACACACTTTTATTCAGTGAATTTAACTGGGGTCAGAACAGTTTTGAACAGAATCATTATTATTTAAAAAAAAAATGATGGTGGATGACCCTCAGGCATGAGGAGCTTGCTCAAGAATATATCATTATATTACATGAAATCATATGATATCCAGATGGTGTCACTTTAAAAAAAATACATTTTAAATGTGTGGCATGGAGGCTGCACAGCTGCAGAAAGAAAAGCTCTGCAGAGAGTGGTGAAGGCTGCACAGAAGACTGTTGGAGTCAGTCTCCCCACCATCACAGACATCTACACCTCCAGATGCAGGATGAGGACCACCTGTATCACGAATGACCTCACTCACCCAGCACACACACACTTTTTGCCCCGCTCCCCTCAGGAAGGAGGTTAAGGAGCATTAAGTGTAGAACCACTAGACTGAGGAACAGCTTCTACCCTGAAGCTGTTAGACTCATGAATATCTAACCAGATAATCACTGTGTGAAAAATCACATCATGTTACTGTGTTCATGCTCATCTGCTCACACAGACTCATGTTCGTGCTACTGTTAGGCCTTTTGTTTTATGCTATTAGTGCTTCGTGTATTTTTATTAACGTTTTTCTTAGTTCATATCTTAGATCTTATTACTGTTTTTCTTTACATTTTAATACTTTTGTTGGATGTAACTGGGACCCTGTGTACAAAATTTCATTCCACCACATGTACCACATGTGGTGCGTATGACAAATAAAGAACCTTGAATCCTTCAGTCCTTAAGAGTCGGGTGCTTGTCCCATAATCTCCTCCAAATCCATGATGAGTATTCACATGTGTGTTCATATACACTTTTTATTCTTTCTTTTAGATTGTTCCTTCAGAACTTCTGCTCTGAGGCCAGAGAGCTGACGGTGGCTGAAACAAAGTCCCTGATGGCTGCAGGAGACAAAGATGGGGATGGCAAAATCGGGATGGAAGGTGCCTGCCTGTAAACATCTAATAAAAGTTGTTAGCAAATGAGAAAAAAAAAAAGATATATATATATATTTGAACAACCTACGGTACTTCAAGAAAAAAGATCATTGCTGTTTTTGTTTTATCTCAGCACTGAATGACTTCTATACGTCTAGTCTGCCAAAAAGCGAGTCCTGACTTGTTGTTTTTTCCTCCACAGAGTTCTGTGATCTCCTGAATTAAAGGCATCACAGCTGTCCACAGCTGTGTTTTTCTTTTTATCAACCTATTTATCAACCGAGTACCTGGAATGGGCTAATAAATGAATTTAAGTTGTAATATACCTGTGTTGCGGTCTTTTATCTCTATTCTTTACTGGACATTAAGGTAATTGTTTGATTGCGTTTAACATCTGTCTCTTTAAGGCCCAGATTTGTCAGAAAAATAATCCAAACTCCTTGAATAATAATGATGGTTTCTCAAAGTGTGCCACATTAGCACTGTGTTCAGCTGTGACAGCTGGGCTGGAGGATTAGAAAGCAACAGAAAGCTTCCTGTAACCTAAAGCATAACTCTGTGACTCCACATTTTACACACACAAATATTCTATTACGGAACACACTGAAGGTAAACAAATTTTAAAAAAAAAGGAAATTAAAGTTTGAATTATAATTTTAATATTTATAATACATTTTTAAAACGAACTGGGATGCAGATTTATTGGAACGGAATGTCTTCCAACTTATTAACACTTTGATCAAGTTAAACGACTCAACTTAATTTTGTTTTAATTTACCCTAATTAAAATCTATAAGTCCTAAACGGCAGCATTTCTTTTATTCCAGTACTGCCTTCTTGTGGGAGGCTCTCGGATTACTGCCGATCCATCCAGACAGAAATATTCATCATTATCACAAAGTCATCAAACTGCCATCTTGTTCATGCACACAATCAAGGCATGCAAAAATAGTTTTGATGATTGGTCCATTTCCAACTAAGGACAGGGATCTGGAAGTACAGGTCCCAAAGTCCTGTCCCTGTTAGGGTGCTGGCACAGATGAAACTCGAGCCAAGGGTGAGGAGGTTCGATGAAACGTAAAGATACTGTACCTTACGCTTTGGGTACATTCATGTTACAGGAGAACACTTGATCCTGTATGAGGCTGCACATATCTAACTGAGACCACCTCAGATGGTGTCACAGCTGCATTCCTTAAAAAAAAAAAAAAAATCAACACGAATGAACTCATAAAGAAAACTGAAACATATAGAATTTATTGGGGGGAAAAAATGAAATGAAAAATAATAATAATTAGAAATGTACAAATATTCTGTATCCACGGAAATTAAGAACCTCCAAAGCAGTGTTCGCTTTATTTATTATCCCACCCCTGAATAAAGAGCTTGGCCCATGGCTTGCACCATCATGCCTACCCATCGATTTAATCCAGGCATAAGTTGAAGCATCAAAATCAGCATTGTAGGTGTTGTCTGTAAATCATAAAAAGTGCAACATGTGCCATCAAGTCAGCAGGCAGCGGATCCACTCGGGTTTCCACACATCTAGCTATAGGCCTCAGCACACATGGTAGCATCCTCATTTGTTCATCTAAAAATAGGTCCGGACCAGTAGACACATTTTTTCGAAACTCGCGCATCTCGGTACCTGATACTGAAACTCAAAGCTCTGTAAATGGTGTTGCTCGGGGATATATAAGAGAGAGGGGAACGGGCCTTTTGGCATTCACTCTAGTCCGCCTTGGTTTTCACTCGCCTCAACGCAGCGCCAAGGTGAGTGGGATGCTACACCGACTTCTGCAGATTACACTGGGAGTGGGAAAAAGGACTTAGGACAGGAGATCAACGAGGACCATCAACTATAGGAGAAATGGGATCAACATAGCCTGAAAATACGTGGATCGCAGGATGATTCTGTTAAAACTAAAGGGGGCCAAATGAGACAATTTGATTTCAGAGGATCAACGTCTTTGTGGATGACAATTGGTTTATTTTATTTATGCCTTCTGACCGGATGTAATAGATATTTGGCAGCACTGTGTCTTCAGCTGCCGTGTTAATTTGTGGCAGCAGGTTGTGGTTCTGTGAGTCAGCCTCCCAGCAGGAGCATCAGTGCTCGAATGCAGGATAACACACTGAATCAAAGTCACTGCTGCGCTGTGGTCCATCCCTAGGCAAAGAGAAGCTCTTTAGCCAGCAGCAAATGTGACTGAAGAGGTTTCTAGATCAGGAAATGCTTCGCCAGCTTCATTGCTTTAACCCTTAAAAATCTAAACTTCTGTTTGATTTATATGAATATTTAAACTGAGCCACATGGGTTAAGTCATTTAGGTTGACATTGAAATTAATGTGCAGCTGTTTACTGATGCTCATCCTAACTTTCTGCTTTGTCTCGCAGCTCCCTAAGAATATAAAAAAATGGCCTTCTCCGGTGTCCTCAATGAAGCTGAAGTGAAAGCTGCTCTGGACGGCTGCTCAGGTGAGCATATTGTGTTCTCAACAGGGTTTTCACACATTCTGCAGTCTAAATGCGACTTCAAGTCATCTATCAGAGAAACAAACTGAACTGAGACGGTGTGAAACCCTGGGTGTAAACAGTTTTCACCACTGGGATCGCTGGTTGGGTGCTAATTGTGTTGAAATGTGCGTTTCAGCTGCTGACTCCTTCGACTACAAGGTCTTCTTCAAGGCATGCGGACTGGCTTCCAAATCCTCCGATGAGGTCAAGAAGGCCTTCGCCATCATTGACCAGGACAACAGTGGCTTCATTGAGGAGGAGGAACTGAAGTAAGAGCCAGGATTATCACTTAAAGATGAACTTTAGCTCACTTTAGCACATACAAGCTTAAACAGATGCAGCAAAGCTAACATATTTAGCTTATTTCGCTTCAGTCTAAAGCAGGGCTATTCAACTGGCGGTCCGGGGGCCAAATCAGACCCATTGGTGAGCTCAGTTTGGCCCACCAAGGGGTTAATTTTTAAATGAAATTAGATTTTAAACTGTAAAATGAGCTAACTTAATGACAATAACTGCTGGATATCCGGCCCCTGAGCTCTTGGCTTCAGTAACTGTGGCCCTCGGAGCAGTTTAGTTATAGCCCTGGTTTGAAGGTGTGTTTCCACTTCAGCAACCTTTTCCATGAACCAGTTTCTTCTTTACTTTTACTGCTTCCAGTTTCCCTACATTCAGCAGGATAAATGCAAAATACGAGGGTAGCAAGTTTCCCCAGAACATGGGGGGAGCACGAAACATTTCAGATCGGTTGAGTCCCAGAGACAGGCCATTAAAGTTAGGTGTACGGAGGGACCGAGAGAGTTTGTCTCACAATAGACATGTCACAGTATGGATGTGTTTGACCAGTTGCAACACTTCAGCAGTGACTCTGATGACCTCGTTCATGTTGCAGCTCAGACTGTAGTGGAAAAGCAACATTGTAATTAGCAGGGTAAATAATTACATGATTGAAATGGAAACACGCCTTAATGAAGGTCAAAGAAGTTCATTAGTTAATGTGACCTGAAGATTTTGGCACATTTTACTTAACATCGCGTGTGTCTACTTTGCAGACTGTTCCTGCAGAACTTCTCTGCCAGTGCCAGAGCACTCACCGACAAGGAGACCAAAGCCTTCCTCGCCGCTGGTGACAGTGATGGTGATGGCAAGATCGGAGTTGATGGTAAGAGCTTTTCTTCGTCTAACTGGAACATTAGCACTAGCCAAGTAATATTATTATCTGCTCGCAGCAAGTTCTTAATTTGCAAAACTTCAACCGCTTGGTCAGAGAATTGACTGAATTCACCATTTCCTCCAGCACTAATGCCAGTTTTGTTCTACTTCCACAGAGTTTGCTGCCCTTGTAAAGGCATAAACTCCCACTGACCAAGATCCACTTCTGCAAACTCCTTTCAAGATTCACTAATCATCAGCTGTTTGAATATTTTTTTATACCTTATTTATGAGTTGCCTGCGGACTATTTCTCAACATGGAAAGCATAACAATGTTATCGTGAATGTCACTCAAATGTGTAACATGTTCTGAAATAATGACTTGTGCAATCTGTACAACTCCTCTTGCACTTTTGAGGAAGAGTGAAAAACCAGGAATAAATACTCATTTGGTGTGAAGTCCTCTCGTGCAGGTCAGTCTTTTGCATTGCTCAGTGTGGTGGTTTCAAATTGACACAATGGGTTGATTAAGAAGTCGTATCGAGTGAGCGCTCGCTCGCCAGCGGGGTCTAAATGCTCAGTGCTGAGAGACGCCGGCCTCGGATGACTTTCTCAGCACTTGTCCTCCTAATTGGTTAATGAGAAAATGGGACATGTGGCTGGACTTTGGCCAGGACTTAGAAAATGTGCTGGGAATCACCCCCGGGTGCTTTGCTCACAGCATGCAATAGATCCAAAGAGCTCCGCAGAGCATAGCTGTCACACTTTGTGTAATTAGATGGTCCAGTCCAAGATCTATTTATCCAACAAATGCTGCATAATCAGACAATGCTGGTCGTTATTAACAGCCTGTTTAATCAGCAGGAGCATGCTCAGGCTCTGCAAAGATCTGGTCTGAGGAGTTCTTAGAAAACTACTCGATTCATTGATGCTGCTTCTTTGCATTGCTTGGACTGTAACACATTTTCTTAGAAAACCATTGGCCTTGAAGGGAATTCAAAAAGTCTTAAAGTCCCTCTAAGTTATGGCTGTCCAGAGCTATGCAAGTCAACAATGTGCACATGCTCAGCCTTACCAGATGGCACCCTAAACTTGTTTCTGTCAGCCAGTGATGGGAGCAGAATAAAGCTGAATGGCAGTCTGGAGTTCACCCCAAACAACAGTGCTGCCACCTACAGGACCCACGAAACACTCAATAAAAAATGCCTTTTTCAATTTGCATGGGAAGAAAATTGTACAGTAAGCGTTTAAACTCATAACGCCACTGAAATTGAAACAAATGGGGCACTTTCAGGATCCTTTTCTTCACTAATCTGGCCAAAAACAATCTAATGTGTACACAAGTTTGCTTCTATGCATCAAAGTTATAATTCAATTTAAATAAACAGATGAACACAAGTTAAAAGGCAGTTTTAAAAAAAAAATCTCGAGACATTTACAGAGGAGCTCCAGAACGATCCTCTCAAAGGGAACGCTGATTTATTCGGGGATATTCCACACACTTTGGTGATTATTTAATAAAAATGCTCAGAATAACTGGTTTCTCAAGACAAAATCTCTGCACCGTTCCTTCAGAATATAAAAAGTTTTATTGGGGAATTAGCTGAGCACATGCCTGCTCCCTCCTGAACATGTTCCCAGCAGGACTTCCAATTCGCCCTCCTCAGCAGTGCCCAGGCCTATTCTTAGCATCGTGGGGACATTGAAGACTTCTTCAAACACACCTTTTAAGCGTCTTCATTTTGGAAACTTAAAATAGACCACTTTCTGGCTCCGAGACACGGATTTCTCCCCCTCCCTTCACTGCTCGGTGTCAGTTATCGTTTTGCTTCAGATTTCCACGGAGGGAGTGTATAAAAAGGTCACCGGGAGCACCGGGATGGTCACTGCAGTCGACTTCAGTCTTGTCTGTGTCATCTGTACCCTACAAAGCAAACACACCAGAGGTGAGTCTGAACACGGAGGAGAAAAAGAATTCAAAAGGAAATCCAAAAAGGCTTTTTCATCTTTGAGAAAAAAAAAAAAGATATATATTTTTTAAAAGTTTTTGCAGTTTAGTTGAGGACAACTAAACAGCCTCTAATGAAAGAGATGACTTTTGCATCCTCTTGCGGGGGAAACAAACAGGAGAGAGAGACAACGTGGATTATTGGTCAGCATCTTTAGAGTTGCAGAAGGGAGAATCTGTCAATCAGCCGCTCGAATGGAGTCAAGAAATGCAAACCCTGCAGGAGCCTCCGACAGCAGAGCGCTGACTACAGCAGCTTTTTGAAATCTGGAGCCTTTCTAGTCTCATACATGCTTCTAATCCATTTGGACTAACACAGACTTCTTTTATCCTTTACCAAGAGAACAAACTGCTTTAATTTTAATGATTTAATTGCTGCTTTTTGTGTAGCAATTAATAAGTTAACGACAGTCTGTGCTGTGAACTGAGTCTAGTCAGGATAGATGCAAAGATGACTGCTTTGTGTTGACAAGTGAACGTTTTAGCAGCTAATCGATTGTCGTTTTATTCCTGCAGAACAAAATGGCTTTCGCAGGTGTACTGAATGATGCTGACATCACCAAAGCCCTGGACGAGTGCAAAGGTGATTCTCCCTTACTTTCTGTTATCGGGATTGTTCATAGCTTAACAAGTCTTTTTTTTTTTTTTTACTGGTTTCAGGCGCTGACTCATTCGACTACAAGAAGTTCTTCAAGGCATGCGGTCTGGCTGGAAAGAGCGCCGATGATGTCAAGAAGGCCTTCGCCATCATTGACCAGGACAAGAGTGGCTTCATTGAGGAGGATGAGCTGAAGTGAGACACAGATTGAATCTTCTATTCTGACTAGAGGCATAAATGGACTAGAAACAGACTGATGGTTGCTCCAGTAAAACTTACACAGCTCAGTCCTTTCAGAAAATGAAGCGGTGTCAGCAGGACAAATGCTCCATCTCTGTTTGCCTGCAGGCTGTTCCTGCAGAACTTCTCTGGAGGTGCTCGCGCTCTGACCGACGCTGAGACCAAGGCTTTCCTGACAGCCGGTGACAGCGACGGTGATGGCAAGATTGGAGCTGACGGTAAGCGGATCCATCCCCTCCCATGCACAGCAGCCGAGACCACTGCATAACAAAAAATATCAAACGTATGCTTTCCTTTTGTCCCTGCAGAGTTCGCTGCCTTGGTTAAGGCATAAGACAGCAACTGACCAACAAGCACCTGCTCTGATGGAACAACAAAGCCCACGTCGACCTCCCCCTTTTCATCTGAACATAAATGACTTTTATACATTTGCTTAAGGGACGTTTCCTCCTCTATGCAACACACTGTCCAAAAGTGATGATTGTGAATGTCGCTCGGTTGTGTTCATGTCTTAAATATGAATTTTGCTAACTGTAAAATCTATAATGCACTTTCCAGGAACTAAAGGTGAAAGAATAATAAACATTCTTTTGCTGCAGTACTAAGCCTTTGGTTGTGTTGTGTTTGTTCTGCATGGAAGTTTTTCCCATTCGATTGAATAAAAGGGGCATTAAAAAAAGTAAGAAAACAACAAAAATTGCACAAACAAACATGTTTGTCACAATATCTTTGAGTGGTCAATCCCTGTGACCCCATATGCAAACCTTACTCATCACATCTGAATGATTTCCTGACATCTATCACTTGCATTAATTAAACCAAACAATATTTCATTTAAATAGCCCATAGCTGAAAAAAAACTAAATAAAAATAAATTAATTAAATTGCCACAAGAAGTACACATGAGCTGGTATCATGTAGAATTTTGGTAATGACTCAAACGCAAATACATAAATAAATAAATAGGCCTACATCAGGCACAGCAGAGGTCCCACTCAGTCTGTAGTTTGAACTTTTGGCCACTAGATGGAAGCAAAGTGTTGCATTAAAAGCCAAACAATGGTTGGATTTCTTTAGAGCAGGCACATTACTGGGTCTGTGCGCATGTGTTTTTTTGCCTGTCACTCTGCCTGTTAGCAAAATATCTCATGAACCACTGGACTGATTTTAATGAAGCTTTCCTAAATTAATTTATGTGTATGCAGTTAAAAGTGATTAACTTTGGTCATCATTCAAGACGGCTCTCACAACTATTAAACTTATAAAACACAACAACAGTATCTAAAAGAGTTAAATCTGGTCCTCTGGACATTCAAAAAAACAAAACAAAGCAAAACAACAACAAAATGTAGTAATGTTTCGTCTTTCATCCGAAAGACTTCCTCAGTCTGAAGTGTTGTATTCAGCTCAGTCCAGAGGACCAAATTGAACTTTTTTAGATTTTTCTACCTGGAGCATGCATCAGGACAACAACAGTAGTTTAGTCACTTTTAAAGACAGTGAGCTAAAATTTGTCTTGCTTGAAGCTGAAACTGATTCCTACCAAAAGATATGACAGCTAACAGGTCGTGCAAGACTTTTATTTAAAGTGTTGCCTCTTTGTTAAAAACATCATGAACCATGGGATGGATTAAAAAAAAATCTTTCAGAAAATAATTACTGGATGTAATACTGATTACCTTTTGGCACTAACTCACTTCATAATGGCTACCACAACCAACTGAATGTAAAAAAAAAAACAATGGCTAAAACACAGTCATTTGAATATATTGTGTTAAATTTTAGTATGATACGAGCTGAGAGCCAATATTCACTACGAGAGAACTTTGCTTTACACTTTGCCTCCCAAAGTTCAAGTTCAAGGTTCTTTATTGTCATTTGCATCACATGTGGTACATGAGGGGAATGAAATTATGTACTCAGGGTCCCAGTTACACCCAAAAATAGCAAAAATATAAAATATAAAAAGAAACCATATATAAGGATCTAAGATATATGCTAAATATTAATAATGTAAAATAATATGGTATAATTAAACAGCAGCCTGAACATGAGTCTGTAGTGAGCTGGGTATGAAAACAGCAGTTTAGAGGCAAGAGATCAGCAGCATGGGTAACCAGCAACACAGATAAGTCACATATCACCAATTAAAGTGGCATTACAGTGATTTTGTTTTCTTACAGTGATTATTCTGATTAGAGATTCACGAGTCTAACAGCTTCAGGGTAGAAGCTGTTCCTCAGTCTAGTGGTTCTACACGTAATGCTCCTCAATCTCCTGCTTGAGGGGAGTGGGGCAAAAAGTGTGTGCTGGGTGAGTGGGGTCCTTCATGATGCAGGTGGCCCTCTTCTTGCATCTGGAGGTGTAGATGTCTGTGATGGTGGGGAGACTGACTCCAACAGACTTCTGTGCAGCCTTCACCACTTTCTGCAGAGCTTTCCTTTAGGAGTCAAGTTGGAGTCAATCCTATTTTTTCTGTTAGCAAAATATCTCATGAACCACTTGAAAGAAATGAATGTAACTTTAAAAAAGAAAGCATCGCCTTTTACAGCCAGTCCATTTAATAATGGCCACAGCTGATCAGCATTAGCCGAAACTCAGACGGCTGTAACTCAATCAAGGTTACAGTCCTAGAGGTAGCAGCTGAGCTTCAGCCACAACACAAGCTCTGAGTCTGACATCTTGTGACATCACTTTGATTTGTGCATAATGTTATTTTCAAGGTTTGATCAAAACAACTAAAGATGCTGCACTTTCTCTATTTAATCAAAAACGATCGGTGTGAGTGAGCGAGTGAATGGTTGTTTGTCTCGTTTGTCTCTATGTGTCCATGTGATGGACTGGAGACATGTCCAGGGTGTCCCTCGCCTCTCGCACAGTGACTGCTGGATATGGGCACCAGTGACCCGAAAAGGAAGAAGCGGGTAAAGACAATGGATGTATGGACGGGACATGTCCTCCCATGATGAATAATATATCTGTCTTTATGCAGCAGTGCATGATTAAATGACATTTGTCACATTAATAACAAAATATTCCTGAGATTTTGTTTCCACTGACACCTATCTGTGCCTCCTCAGAGGTGAGAAAAACCGACATCACCGCCGCGACGTCCACGTTGACAAACAGCATGGTTCGTACAGAGCAATAAATAAATGATCGCCCCGTAACAAAATCGTCAGGGAAGGATGTTCGTGTAGTCACCGGTTCTTGGTAAGGCCTCCTCACTACTCGGCATGCGATGTCTTTCGTTTCTTTTCACACCTTGTCTGGAGAAGATGATTGAGTATCCTTTTCGCTCCAGTCTCGCCCTCACCATGACAGCTGATGGGAGGCCTCACTGACAAGTTGAATAAGACTGAGGAAAGGCTGAGAGTGACAAACATCCAGAGATAAGAGAAGCTTTCATTTATTCATGAATGAAAGTATAGGATGTTGCCAGATAGTGTGTTTACCCTATGCACTGAGTTCAAGGTGCCCGTCTCATTAGACTACAAGTGATTCCTTAAACATCATATCAGTGAGTCATGTGAGAGCAGACCTGCGCTCGGGGGGTCACAGCTGCTAACTAAGGCCTTTATATAATTTAATGTATTAAGTCAACTCCATTCAAGATGGCTGCCACAGCCAACCGTTCTCAGAAAACACAGAAAATGCTTTAACTCAGTTGATTTTACAGATATTGGGCTACAATTAATAGTGTAAATGTTTATGAAGCGTTCACACTATTGTGATCCATTTTTCTTCCGTTTGTTTTTCAGCATCTTTCTCGTTCCACAATTTTTGTGCTATTTCTACAATTCATACATCAAAACGTTCAGCTCGTTCAGGAGACGGGTGCCATGACTTTTTGTATTGGTGAAACTTTAGCTTTTTGAAATACTTAGCCTTTTCTGCCACCATTTTCCTCATAGGAAATTCAATTAAGTTTGTATAAAGCTCCAAGTCACAACAGAAGTATCTCAAGGCACTGAACAGAAACATTCATATACAGTATTTGTAAAACACTATATATATATATATATATATATATATAAATAAATATATATATATATATATATTTATATATATATATTTATGCACTAATATATATATAAAACATTATTTATCTGAGGAGCAGACTGCTTTGAATTTAACTCTATCACAGGACTCTCATCTTGAGCAAGAACAAAGGTGACAGTGGAAAAGAAAAACTCCCTCATGAGGAAGAAACCTTTAGCAGAACCAGGCTCAGGACATGCGGCCATCTGCTTCAACCAGAAATGAATTGAGCTCATTTTACATCCTTCAAATCTTTAGATCTGTTTACAACCTTGTACTGCTCCTTTCACATTTTATTCTGGTTCAGCTTCTTTCAGCTTGTGCAAATTTGAACTTTTTTTTCAGCTGCTTTCAGCTCTTCTTTCAGCTGTTTGTGATCTTTTTAGATTCTTTCTGCAAACTACAACATTTTTTATGCTTCTTCTAACTTCTTTCTATTAATTTCAGCTTTTTTTATGCAAGTTTTAGCTTTTTCTGCTATTTCAGCTACTATTTACCTGTTTTATACTAATTTTAGTATTTTGGCTACTGGCAATTCCATACTTTTTGCGCTCATTTCAACTTTTTTCAGCTTAATTCATCAAAAAATGCTCTCGCCACTTTCTTCTGGTAATTCAGGTTTATTTCTGCCTTTTTTTTAGCTACTTTTCAGCTGATTTTGCATGTTTCAGCTTTATTCAGATAATTTCCACTTTTTCATGCTAATTTCTGCTTCTTTAAGCCTAATTGGACAAAGATGTTTTCTTTCTGCTTTCTTCTACTAATTTAAACTTGTTCTAACTTTTCAGATAACTTTTTAGCATTTTTTTGGGCTAATTTCAGCTGTTTTCAGACAAATTCAAGTTTTTTGTAGTAATTTCTTCTACTTTCAGCCTAATTAGCCTAACCTCTTTATGTTAGTTTCAGCTTGTTATGCTCCTTTCAGCTTATTCATGCTAGTTTAAGTTATTTCATCTACCATTTATCTGTATTCATGCTAATTTTATCTTTTTCTGCTAATTCCACATTTTTTGATTTCATTGTAGTTCTTTTCACTTATTTCTGGTGGTTTAAGCTTCTTTTTGCCCATGCAGCTACTTTCAGCAATTTTGTTTCTTCCCAATTTCAGCCTTTTTTTTTTTTTAACTAATTTTCTAATTTTTGTGCTAATTTTTGCTTATTTATACCTAATTCAACAAATATGTGTTCTTTCTGCTTTCTTCTGCTAATTTAGACTTGTTCTTCCATTTCAGCCATATTTCAGAAAGATTTTTTAGCTTATTTTAGCTGTTTTTCTGCAAGTTCTTCTGCAATAAGCGTTCACACTGCATTTTCGCAGGAAATGCAATTTGTCTAGTTGTGGTTGTTGCTGTGACTAATTTACAACATATACCCCAAGTGCAAAAAAAAATAAAAAAAATAGTGCAATATTTTTGCATTAACTGTTTGAGCCAATTGTCTGTTTGTTAGCAAAATATCTCATGACTTTTTGGACAGATGATAAAAAAAACCTCCAGACAGTATCCAAAGATTGTACCTCTACAAATGATTACACTTGGAGTCAATCTAATTCAAGATGATTATCATTCCATGTGAACATTAGCATCACAAAAGTGGCTGTACCTCAGTTAGTTTTGCTGATATTGATCTACAATTTGACGTGGTAGTAGCTGAGAGTCATTCACATCACATACTCTAAAAGGTGGCATCTTACAATATCAGGTGAGGTTCTGCATAACGTCTTAAATCCATAACTTCACATCAGACGATGATCTTTGTCTAAAACTCTGGGATGAAAGGCAGCAGGTGATTATCATCCCCTCTAGGAAAGTTGAGCCTTTAAGTTTAATTAGAAAGTAGAATATCCAAAAGCTGATAAAGTCCAGATGTTCTGAGCATATAGTGGTGATCCCATGCAGAGCCCCAGCCTGCAGCTGTGACCTCCAGATAACCAAAGAGAACAAAAGCACACCGAACTATGAGAAATGAAAACAATAGCGGAAGTGACTTCTCTGCTCCGTTTACTTGGAGCACGTTTTATGCACCATCATCAAGATGACGAGCGTGGCTCTTAATCAGAACATCTGACAAAGCATTTCACCCCCCGTCAGTGTCAGACGGCGAGAAGGTTAGAAAGCACCGGCCTCCCTCACCTGCACGGCGAGCACGAGGATCATATTTAATCATCAGAATCCCCTCAGAGTCTGAGGACAGTGCCAACAAAAGTTATTTATGGATGCTCTCAAAAACCACATATGCTTTTATTGATTTATTTTACCAGTTTAGTTATAACTCAGGATTTAGGACCCACGGCTGAAACTTGGAAAGCTCCATGTCACCTGTCCTCATGGGGGATTTCAGAGGGATGCCGCAAAGATGTGCTGCTTTTGGACATGCAGCCTGTAAATGGACACCTGAGAGGGTGGCGGGGGCAAGTATGGAAAGTTAGGAAGAAAGACATTACAGCCTCTCACTGTATAATTCTGGAGGGGAGAGGAAAAGGGCGTGCTAGGATGTCAGGAGGGAGTGGAAGAAGGGGAGGAGGCGGGGGTCTTTAAAAAAACCAAAAACTAAATTGGTAATTTGGTATTTACGTGTACATTACAGGTGTCCACAGTCTGCTCTCGCCGCCTCTGGGCGTTATATAAATAGTAAAGGTTAATTAGTTAGCTGGGAAATTGGATCGAGGCGGGCTGTCCGAACTTGATCCATCCTCAGGTAACTGAAGCGATCCCTGTTGTCAGAGGAATGGGACCTATATAAATCCACCTGAACTGGACTGGAGGCACCACATCGCCTCACCTCACAGCTGGATCACAGACCTGGAAGGAAACTTCTAAACACAGTGAGTTACCGTCATTTAAACGATTTAAATGTTGCTCGTGGGTAAAACATTTCATTCAAGGTGATGTTTATAGGCAAGCAGTGAAAGGTATTCCCTGTGTAATTGAATGTTAAACAGTTTTAGTCAAAGTAGCACTAAGGTTTGTCCATCACCTGGTAAATAAGTTAATAATTCAACATGGCTTTTCCTACAGGAATAAAATGTCCCTCTCATCTGTCCTCTCTGCTGATGCCATCGACAGCGCTATCAAGGACTGCCAAGGTATCCTTTCCCTCTGATACTTTGTTAGAGGAGGAAACAATTAGCATATTTAAAAAGACGAGCACAGATTTATTTATTGCAAACGTGGGTTAATTGAGCATTATTTTTTAGATCAATCAAACATTTTAACTTGGAGTTTTAAAGAACAATTTGAGAACTTATTCTAGATTTTTTTATTAGTTTCTGTAAGAATTTTCACTTAAATCAAACCTGACGGCACTTTTTTCTTATTCAAATGTAGCTGCTCAGTTCTATTCCAGTCACCAACAGCTCGTCTCGCTGAAAATGTTCAGATTGTTTTTGAAATCCAGTTCAGGGGGGATGCACAACGTTCTGCAGCTCATTACATGTAAAAGCAGTTTGTCAGCAAACTTATCCTGATTTCTCCTCCAGCTCCAGATTCCTTCTCTGCAAAGAAGTTTTTCCAGCTGTGTGGCCTCTCCAAGAAAAGCCCTCAGGATGTGAAGAAGGTTTTTGGGATCCTGGACAACGATGCCAGCGGATTTATTGAAGAAGAAGAGCTGAGGTGAGCGTGCATAACTGTTGATCCATTTGGAAGGTAAATCTAACACAAGACGTGCAAATCGGCGTATTATCTGGAGTTTGTGCAGATTTTGATGGTTGATATGAAAGTTGCAGCTGCAATTTATAATAAAATGCTGTGATAATGAACAAAATCTGACTTTGTGGCTTTTACACAAAAAAAGCATGTTAAAAACTGTGAGACAATAGAAAGTGTGCAGCTGGTTACATTTAATTTAGTTTGCTGAGTTGTGTGTCAGGAACAATGAGCTCGTGATGTTTAATTGCAGGTTTTAGTTTTATCCAGAGCTGACTGTCCTGAGTTTGTCGGGGCTTTTTGCTTTCCACCAGGTTTTTCCTGCAGAGGTTCTGTCCTGGGGCTCGGGTCCTGACAGACAAGGAGACCAAAGCCTTCTTGTGTGCTGCTGACGATGACAGCGATGGTAAAATCGGAGCAGAAGGTGAGAATTTTATTTCAGTTTGTCATTCCTGAAGGAGAAACAGGCACTATTTAAACACGTAACGGCACTTTCTCAATTTCTTAATTGGCTTAAAGTATTTAAATTAAATCCTTAACAACAGAATTTACATAATCCTTCATGTTCATGACTTTTGGATTATTTTGTCCACAGAATTTCAAGCCTTGGTCTTGTCCTAAGCAGCTGGGACTATCTCCAGCTTGATCTGACCAGTCCCCACACCAATTCTCTGACCTCTTCAAGGGCTCCAAGTTTAAACTCACTCCATCCAGTCAGCAAAAACACATTTAAACTGTTCTTACTTTGCTAAACTCATTTCAGTCCTGTGAAATCTCCATGGTTGGCATGTTTTTTTCAGTCGTTTTATTTCGGATCAGTCGTAAAAATGTGTAGCCCAAAGAAACGTAACTAAATTATTGAGAAAATAAAAGCATAGAAACCCAGTTTTTGTGTCTGGTTTTGTTGTTTATGCACAAATGTCTTCAAAGGACCAAAATGCTGTTGTTTTACTCACTCTTATCTAGCACAGATTAAGGTTAATCAAGAACATGAGAAGTGACACTGTGTGTGTCTGCCTCGACGTATGCATTGTGTGTCTGTGTGTCTGTGTGTGTGTGTGTGCTTGTGTTTGTGAGGAGAAAGAGCTCATAGATCTGCGGATGTATAGCGGGAGGGAAAAGCAGAGGAGAGTGACCTTGCTGACCACCCGAGTGTCACTGTGGTTGGATCGAGTGACACCTGACCTCAGCTCTGTGTATGAACCCAGCTGAACCTCGGCGCTGCTCTGGACGGGCAAACAGAGCAAACACAAACCCTAAAAGCATTTGCAAAACCACGCAGCTGCTCAAAGTCTTGCAAAGATACACGTTTTTCTGCATCATGACCTCTAGAAGTGAGTGTTTGCAGGATGTGCAAACTGTCCCGCAGTTCCTCTCACGCCACACTTTTATAAATATCACTCAGTTTTAATTGTCTGCGCTCACAGGATGCCCGGGATTAAACTTAACAACCACCTCACAAGTCTCCCACCCAACAAAGTGCAGAGTAGCAGCTTCTTCTTCAAGGCAGCTGTGTGATTTAATGTACATGGATATTACGGGGGGCAACCTGATTATTACAGGCTGCTCCTCACACCAACATGAGGGGACAAACCCTGACGTTAGCATGAGCTCATGGTCACTAATCTAGATCAGGCAATCATGTCTTTTGCTGCTACGTCTTGGTCATGAACAATCAATATCTTACCTGCTGTAGGTAACTTTTTGAAAGGTCTTAGTTTGGAGAAATAGTTTAATTATGAGCAGAATGACAAGCTAATGATTAGACTGAGAGGGACCAAGAGCGAAGTGGCTGGCTGCTGTCGTCTAACAACCCAATCGCAAAAGTTTTACAGTAGTTAGCAAACACATTGTTATTATTTTCCATACTTATTTGTTTACTTGTTTTCAAGCTGATATCATAGATGAGTGTGTCTCATTTATTATTTGGACATTTCCTATATGAGAAGTGTTGAGGTTTTCATTTTGAAGGCAAGCATTGGTTGAGTTACTTCATGTTTTGTCTTACCTTCAAAATAAAAGCCTCAAAACTTATGTAAGAAATGTATAAACAACAGTTTAGAAACAAACAAACAAGTCCCAATGGAAAACATTAAAACCAGGCACAGCTCCTTTGTACTGCTGTGAATTTCACGTGACATCACTGTTAATATAGAAATCTTTGGTTGTGGACAAGTGAAAAAAGCCACAGCAGCAGCTAGCTGTAGCAGCACGGATCTCTTCCAGCTGGAATATTAGACTATTTCTGATAAAATAATTTCTTGACGCAAAATTCGCAACAGTGTAAATATATTTTTATAGAATTTGCACAAAAAACTTTGACATTTTGGTACTCAATTTTCTTTTAAGATGGCAGTCTGGTGAGAATTAAACTATTTCAAACAAAGTTGGTTCAAAAAGAGATATTATTGTTGATTACCTTTCCTTAGAACCTTTGTTTTCAAGATCCGAACCGTATCTTTAATGGAATTTTTATGAAGAGGTCATAAAACATAATTATACATAAAAATAATCAAAAAATGACACATTTGAACCTTTATAAGCAGTTGAACATTTAGGTTTGGTTCATTTTAATAAGTGATGGAAGCATTAAAGGTCCACTAAGTTAAACTTAGGTCACAGGAGAATAAAAGTTATTGAATTTTTATTTTGCACCAACATCAGTTCACCAAACTTTACATTTAAAGAGACGCAGATTTGCTCACTTTAACTATATATTTTATATTTTATCAGCAGATCAACACTGTCCCACAGACAGATTGTCACAGATTGACACAGAGCAAATCTAATCCTCTCTGATTCATATCTGTTATCAGTTTCTGAGCTTAATTGCTGCTGTGGGGGTGATGGGGCAACAAGTGGGACGAGGCTGGGGAAGCCAGAAGGCAACAAGCCAAGTGACATGAAGCTGTGACCTGTGTGGGAGCTGTGAGCGGTAAACAGGAAGGAAAGGTGAGCCAACAAGTCCACACTGGTGGAAGTGCTGGTGTGAGGCAGCAGCTGATGGTAACCATGAGCAGATTACCTGAAGTCAAGGGAGGGAGCGGGGGTGTATGGGTTTGTTTCTCCTGGGAAGAGAAGGCAAGGACAAACTGGACTGCAGCAGAAAGAAGAAACACTTTAATATATTTTTTAATCGTTTAAAAAACTGCTAGATTCAAAACAAATCAGCAATCATACAGGGAAATAAATTAAATAATTTAGTTACATAAGTTTAATAAAGGGGGGTGGTGGTGCAGAGGTTAGAGAAGATGTGATCAGAAGGTCACCGGTTCAACTCCCCAAACCGACAACATCAAAATGTGGGTGGGAAAGGTGAAACCGCCACACCTTCCTCCACCGTCATTTGCCTCTAGACAAAGGAGTGATCACAAAGGTGATCAAGGCCCTTAACCCCCACCTTCTGCTCCCCGGGCACCCTAGATAGCAGCTCTCTGCTCCACACAGAGGGCTGTGGTAGCTCGGTGGTTTGTGGTTGCATAAAAAAGGGCATCCAGTAAAAACAAAGTCTTTATGTGAGTTAGTTAGCTGTGAAGAAGGGAGCAGCTGAAAGAAGAAAAATAAAAGTTAAATAAGTTTGTTTAGATTGTAAAGAGGGTGGGTTCTAAGACTGAGCCTTGTGGTACACCATTGTTAACTCTTAAATAACTGGAGGAAATACCATTATATAATATATATATAATGCAAGGAAGAAAGAGGCAGCCATTTGAAAAAGTACAAATAGTCAAGTCAAGTCAAGTCAGATTTATTTATAGAACACATTTAAAACAGAAACGGTTACCAAAGTGCTTAACAAAAATATCACAACATCAAATAAAAAGTAGCAAGATATATTTACAGCACATGGAATAAAAATATAAAACTGAAAACATAAGTAGAAACAATGAAATACTAAATCAGATCATGTTGTGTCAAAAGTCAAGGAAATAATAACAAAAAGCATAAACTCAGTCAGAAACCATGAAATACTAAATCAGATAAATAAATAAAATGACAACGTTTTAAATTTGAACAAAAAAAAAAAGTTCAATTTGAAAGTTAGAACTCTGAAAACATCCATCCATTATCTTTACCCGTTTATTCCATTTTGGGTCACGGGGGTCGCTGGTGCCCATGTCCAGCAATCACTGTGCGAGGGGCAGGGTACACCCTGGACGGGTCGCAAGTCCATCACAGGGACACATAGAGACAAATGAGACAAACAACCATTCACTCTCTCACTCACACCTAGGGACAATTTAGAGTTACCAATCAGCCTAACATGCATGTTTTTGGTTTGTGGGAGGAAACCGGAGTACCCGGAGAAAACCCACGCATGCACGGAGAGAACATGCAGACTCCACCCAGAGGGCCCCTGGACCGTTTGAACCAGGGACCTGCTCGCCGAGAGGCAGCAGCTCTACCAGTTGCGCCACCGTGCTGCCCCTAATCTGAAAACATCTTTTCACAATTATAAAAAAAATCTTAGGACAAAAATAAATGCATAGAGACTTGTTTCAACCTTTATCAGTAACGTCCTAATTTCAACCTTTGCAAAAAATAACTGCTCGTAAAAATAAAATCTTTGCTTTTTCGTGCCTCACAACTCAGATCCTGACCACCTTCATATGTTAAACTAAAAAAGCTAAAGTAAGTCCCGCCAAAATAAAGTCTAATAAAGAACTGCTTGTCATTTCTGCAGGTGTACCAAATGTGGACTTTTCATATGCTCCTTAAAAAACACTTGTGTCTGCAGTGCATCACTTCTTCTTCTGCAAACTGAGAACAAATCTCAATTAGAGCAAATATTTCTTACAGCCATCAGGAGAAAAGAAAGATTTTATGGAAAAACGCACATAATCCACAAAAAAATCGTGTTTTTATTAAATTTGTGTATATAGTGCACTCATCTACAGTAACATCCAATGAAACGTCACATATTTTGTAGAGTACTGACGACCGACCAGATGGCTTTTCACTCACGATGAAAGCATTGAAGCGATGACTTTGACTCATCCTAATGTTCTGTAAAGAAACAGTTTTTGTGATCTGTAACTGAAAATGTCATGTACAATATGGACAGTGTTGAAGCCCCACCTTTCAGGGCCTGCAGGTGACAGACGTTCAGCTTTTAGTCTTGTTATCAGCAAACAAAAACTTCTTCAGTTCCATAAAGTTTACAAATCCTGATATGATCTCCTAATTCTATGGAGTTACGTTTATACTGTCATTTATTCGTGTTGGTATTGTTGCTGATGAAATTTATCCCTAAAGTTAAAAAGACTGGTCCAACCTCCAACCCCCTCAATTAACCTTCCAGGCTAATTGAAGTGTCCAGTCTCTGTGTGTGACAGCTAATACTGTCCTGTACTTTCTGTCTGGATTAGGGCCTTGGGACGGACGCATCATGCCCTGCCTGGCTTTTCTTTATAGCGTCTCAATAATTGATGCCGTCGCTTCATTCAAAAACTCATATCAAGAAAGCAGTGTCAGGCTCACCTTACTGATTAAGTCTGCGTGAAACTTTAATGTGCGTGGCCATCTTCAGCTGATAACAAATGGATGTACTCACGCAAACCATGGAGGTGAAAGAACGTGCGGAGGCTTCCCCAGTGAATACCCCAGATCATATTTTGGTCTCGTTCCTGGGGATTTGAGAGCCTTGACGTGTCAGGGACGCTGCCACCTGATAGTCTGTCCAGCAAGGAGCGTCATAAAAGATTTAACTGCTGAGTTAGGACATCTGAATGGGCTCTGCGAGCTCTCTGTAGGAACACCATCTATAATGCAGGGGGTGACAGCCCTGCCTCTGTTCCCTGTCAAGCCAGAGTGTACAGGCTCTTATGATGTATACGTGGAGATTCCCTTCATTAAAGAACAATAGGACACGGACATATCAG